GACCAAGCATCATGGCTGATGTAAGCGTTCACATTGTTAGACGGAATGTATAATGTGGATGCATAGGCACTGTTGGTTGTGGAGAACTGGCCAAGTCGGTTTCCCCATTTAAAGAATTCTATATCTGCCAGGTGATGGTAAAGAAACCACTCAAACTGGGTCAACTCAAATGCAAATATCGGTCGTAAATAGCATGCGCTGAAAAGCGCGACAAAGCAAACACGAGAAAACCTCTCGAGTGGTTCTCACGTTGTGAAGGATGGCTTCCCAGACAAGTTGAACTGCCCGGCAAGCACGTTTTTATATTTTTAGACTGAATTCAGTGAGCATCAGCAGAGCTCAAAGTCTAAATGCCTGGACAAGTCACAATAATTTCAGTTGAAATGCAAAATGCAGCCAAGTCCCCCATCCTGTACTTTGAAGTACATCACGTTTAGGGCTATGCTCTAGCAGATGACATCAGTAACAAGAGATATGTTTACCTCCATGTGCTTGACTCACAAAAGTCAGGCCAGCAGTTAAAAACTCTGGTCGGGGATTGACTTAGCCCTTAACCTCTCCAGGGTTCATAAAACGTGCCACTTATTTTTGACAAGTCACCCGTGGTCATTCTTTGGCCAGTTTGGTCATTGCCATGGCAATGCAGAATTTTCACCATTGGCTCAGGGCCACCTATGAAGATGACACCACTGCATTTCTTGTTTGAGTATGGAGGTTATTTGGATATTTTAAAAAAATACTTGAAATTGAATTAAAATTGTCTCCTTGCTTAAACGAGCATGGGGCAGTCCCCATTCCATTTCGCATATCTGCTCTCGTGGTCCAAATTCCACATTCCTTTGGCAGGGGATAATAATTCTGACAAGTTTTAACATTATGAGACCTCCTTTGCCAGAAACAAGATATAGGAATAGGTTTTACCCTTTTAACTGGCAGGTGTCAGTTTTTGTGCCAGTTAAAAGGGTAAAACCTATTCCTAATTCTGACAAGTGTGTATTTATGCCCTCGTAAAGAACTAAAGGTTTCAGTGATGCTGTTGTATGTATGTTGAACTATTTTTGAACCATACATAGTCAACCGTGCTACCCAGAGGTGTGGGGGAAGGACAACAAACTAAACACAAAAAGCAGTTCTAAAGAAAAGAGTTTTCAATCTAGATTTTAAAAAGTGCACAGCTCAAGTGGCTTCCTAGTATCAGAAGGAAGAGCGCATTCCAGACGGCCGCAGAAGCGCATCTGAAAGCGCGCGACGCAATGGCCTGTTGAGAATAGATTGCAAATCAGGTCACGTGATGACGACATGGACTCACAAGAGACGGACAAAAGTCAACCACGGGGTGGAGACTAAGAGAAGGCAGAGAAATTCAGAGAAAGGCTGTGGAGAAAGGCTGGCGACAGCCGTGAGATGAAGGCACCGAGTTTGGAGGCTACGGCTGGACAGGAGTACCGAAGGAAGAACAATGTGGGGGGGGGGGGGGGGGAGTACCGAAGGAAGAACAATGTGGGGGGGGGTGCCGAAGGAAGAACAATGGGGGGGGGGTCTGGAACCGAAGGAAGAACAATGGGGGGGGGGGTGGAGTACCGAAGGAAAAACAATGGGGGGGGGGAGAGTACCGAAGGAAGAACAATGAGGGGGGGAGTACCGAAGGAAGAACAATGTGGGGGGGGGAGTACCGAAGGAAGAACAATGGGGGGGGGGGGGTCTGGAACCGAAGGAAGAACAATGGGGGGGGTGGAGTACCTAAGGAAAAACAATGGGGGGGGGGGGAGAGTATCGAAGGAAGAACAATGAGGGGGGGAGTACCGAAGGAAGAACAATGAGGGGGGGAGTACCGAAGGAAGAACAATGAGGGGGGGAGTACCGAAGGAGGAACAATGGGGGGGGGGGGAGTATCGAAGGAAGAACAATGGGGGGGGGGGGAAGAGGCTGCAGCCGAAAACTAAAAAAACAACCAACAATCTCACGCGCTATAAAACATCGTGGAAATTGGTGCCTTAATCTGAAATTTGAAGCCGTCGTCGGGTTCGGCGGGACCCATCGCACGTGACGTTCGGGACGGCTATTGTCGGCCGAGCGAGCCGATTTGCGTGAGAGTAAACAACGCGCTCGTCTGTGTGTGTGCAATGCTGCCTTGGTCCTCCCACTCTCCTTTTCAGGGCCGTTTTCAGAACAACGAGAAACAAAATAGAAAGGCACAGAACATATAACAAAAAAAATCCCTCATCCAGTGTTAAGGCTATTGACATTTTCCCCTCGAGTTTCCAACACCCTTTATACAGTGTGTTAGAGTGGTTTCATTTCCTTTTTCGATGACAAAAAAATATTTTCCTAGCACGATCCAAGAGTAATTTTAAGTTATATGCATTAACAGGGCACAAGATGATGGCAAATGTCCCCTGGTTTGTGCCAAGAAACGTGCGGATTATTGGAGCAATCCACTTCATGGCCATTGAGGCCCCCATGCCCCCCCCCCATTTCACAATCGGGGCATTCCTCTGCATCAGAGGTTCTCAACATTGAGTCTCCACACCTCCACGGAACATCTCCGTATCTCTACCTATCAATGGATGTGTGGTGGATTAACCATTTCAATGGCTACGATTGTCGAGGATGGAGGAACGGACCCAGGAGGACAAAGAATGGGAAGAAGGAACAACCCCCTTATCCCAAAAAGATTGACGACCCCCTCCCTGACCTGCCCATGTCAGCTGGTGTGTGAATTGGTCACCGTGCTATCAGTAAACGGCAATAACTGCAGAATGCCGCTCTGTAGCAACAGCAGGAGCAATAAAGCACGCGTACAGCGCTGCTCCGCTACCATGCGTGCCGTCATCCACTGCAGAGGGCATGCCTCACTCCACACGCTCATTCATATGGAATTGGTCATACATCCTACAAACACGACCCCTCCTCAAAGAGTCGCGAAACTCAGCGTTACTTTTTCTGGGTAAATCGAGAGCATTGTTATTATAATAATTGTTATTTGAGTGGAAAAATGTATCGATTCGAAAGTATTAAAATCTTAAGCTGGCAATGAACACATAAAATCAATGAACATGTAGTAATGAATGCTATTCAATTTTCACGTGTGACAAATAATCGGTTCCAACTGCCCCTACAGCCACTGGGCGCGCTAAACATTCAACGTGATGTAAAATAATGAACGGACTCAAAACTCGAATCGTGACCCACATAATGAGCTGAGATGAGAATGGAGAGGGGTGTCAGGGCAAGGCACATGTCAGACCTTTAACAAGGATTCGTCACGGTTTCATTACTGCATCTGCCCTTTAATGAATGGGGCGTTAAGTAAAAACATTTTTACTGCAACCCTTGATAATAAATATATCCCTGGTCCAACTCCCTCCCGTGAAACACCACCCATTCCAATAAATCTTTCTAACGGTTGGAAGATCTCGTAAAAGCCGTCAAACACACAAACACTCCCTGCTTTTGCGTCATTCATTCTCGAGCACACATGACGATGGCATCAAGCAGTGGATTGATCATGGCACGCGATCAATCCACTGCTGTTAGTCAGATGTAATCCAAACCCAAACCCTTCTTCTTCGGTCCCCATTTTCTCTCCGCGCCCTCGTAGCGAACGCTTTTGGTCCCACCTCACAGGCTTTTCTCGCGCACAAACATCTCTGCTTCTCATCGTTTCCTTTCACAGCGGTCGGGGTGTAAATGTTGCGTGCTTTGTGCTCGGTCAGATAAGTGGGTGCACCTGTGCACAATCCCAGTAACAGAGCGCCATAAAGCAAGCCAGCCGAGTCTCATGCATGGCCCAACTTTACGACGACACACAGATAAACAACGTGTTATTCTAGTAGCAGAATCTAATCTTGTTGCACTGTGCTGTACTTAGTGCTGGCATTTTTTTCCCCGAAAGATCTCATTTGTGACTTGTCTGTCACCCCTGAATGCTCGGTGATAAATGTTTACATGAGTTCCTTTAGAAGCGTATTAATCTATGACCTGATTTTATACTTCACAGAGAGATGGTTTATATTATAATTATTTTGCATAGAAAAATTATCCAAGTTGGTCGGAAAAAAGTCAACAGTTTCTCATTTTCTCGGCATGTGGCATCTGCATTCTCAACAACGCATGAATCAAGCCCCTCTTGACACCCGATGTGTCTAGAAACCGCGTCGTTTGGACAAAGTGCAGCATTTTCATGTACGACAATAACGCTAAATTACCACAAACGACACCTCGTAACAATCATCGCCCCATGATGGCTACACCTTGGCGGGACCGTCCTGAAGAAGAGTCATGGGACTCGCTGAGGCTTTCCTGGGTAAACAAGCGCCCTCGTAATAAGTGAACATTTCAGCCATCACGACGGATTTATTCCCACTTTTATATTAAAGATGCAACTCCTAAAGTTTCCCCCATGCATTCTCGGCTTGTTATAGAAAATATAATTGGCATAAGTGGACAAGTTATGGGATTGTAACCAACTTATACAAAAGATATTCCTTAATAATATTAACAACAATTGCCATTTACAGCCCTGACAATCCACTGCTGGATGGAAGCCTCCCCAAGCCAAGTCAGTCACAGGAGTTATTTTTAACCGTGCCTCGCCACGCTCATCGGTGCGGCTTTAACGAAGCGGAGAACACAGAACTGCCTCGGACATTAGTCAGCACTGGCGTTGACCCTGGCTGGGAATCAAATTCAGATTTTCCAGCTCCAGGGCGCAATTCGTCGCCGCTGCACGTCACCGCTCCCCCCGCGTGTTCCCCCAACGTGCGTCCACGTGAATTGCCCAAACGGCCGTCGTCACCGTAGTGTCACGGTCACGGGTGGTACTGCTTTGCTTTGCCCGCGGCCCGTTCGCATTACCGAGCGCGATGCGGAACGTCCACCAGAAACAAGCAACTCGTGGTAGCCCGGGGGGGGGGTGCGCCCGTGTGAATCCGGGGTGGGGGGGGGTTATAGGGAAACACCCCACGTAGAAATGCACGCCCGCGGCACCGGTCACCTACCCTGGTACGTGTGCGTGAGCCTTGGCGCTGCTCCAAGCTCCGTCGCGATCGCGAGGTGCACAGACAGAGCGACGAGGCACGCGCACAGCATTGCCGCGGCCACGCTGCAGCTCGGGCACGGGGCAAGGGCGCGCGAGCAACGACGCATGCCGAAGCTGCTGCTGCTGCTGCTGCTCCCGCGAATCTTCTCCGCGTCCCTTTAGTCGCCACAAGCCAACGGTCGGGATGCTTTTTGGCCGTCGGGTTCTTCTGCTCTTGGGGTTTCTTTCGTCCTCACAGCAAGCTCGCTTCGGCGTGGAGGGTGTGCTTCACGAGGCTCTCAACAGAGCCATGTTGCTTGGACGGTCTCGTATGACCCTCTTGGACAAGGTGCGGTGATGATTTCTTCTGCGGCAATAACCTGCAAATTACACGCACATTAGACCAGAAAACGTAATCCTTGCAAATACTCTTAAGCTTCTCTCACATACGTGAATGCACATGAAATATTCTACCACAAATGGAAATGAGACCTTGGTTCAAGGAACGGTAATGTGTTTGTCGACCACCCGCTGTTTTTAATACAGATTTTACAACATCGTCGCACACGATGACAAATATCCATCCATTATCCTTGCAGGCTATTGGAGGAAGTGCGGCTAGCGAGCACTTATTCATGCTGGCACATCACACGTGGGGATGGTGATATTGGGACAGGTTCCCAGATCCAGGACAGGTTCAAATATGAATTGCTACCGATGCTCTGCAAGGCTATACATTGCGCCAACTGCAAAGCCATAATTCCTCCTGCTCACACGCACGCTAACACAGACACTTCGGCCAGCACCAGTGCCACACACCAGCACACAGCGATACTAACCAGGGTGCCGTCGCATTACTCATTCACGCCGCACGCTGACAACTAAGCAGGATTTGCAACAAATTGCTTTCTAATACATCTGCCAACTGGAAGATTGCATACATGTTTCCTGTCTCTTGATATTTACATTTTTTACACCCACGACTGCGATCAGGTGATTTCATCATCACCGCCATCTTTCCCAACACCGCTGAGTCGTCAGTTCCTCACTCACTGTATGCAAGGTTAAAACAAAAATTGTAATCTCGCTTTAAAATTTACAGACGAAGGCAAGTTCAATCTTCCTCATTCGGCCTCAAAACTGGCCTACAGACCAAATAAATGCAGACAAAGCGGGAACTGCGTCGTGGTTTGAGGAACCGATGGTGTCGCAGTAAATGTGCCCAATGTGCAAGGTAGGACCCGCTGGTGAAATTGTGCGGTCGTAAAATACGCCAGACTTGCGCCACGCTACCATTAACTTTAGAGCAGTGTCACCAATTTACTTCAGCAGAGCGACACCGAGCGTCTCAAGCGTCCTTGCGTCGAGACGTTGGGGATATTCCATTGATGAGCGCTGTGCATGTGGTAGGCAATCAGAGGACCAAGGAGAAGAAAAAAAAACCCCTCGCTGTACAGATGGGTCCAGCAACCCATTTCCTGTACTGCCACCTTCCAGGTGACCTCACATCCCACAAAAGAGGTCTTTGGGAGTGTCATAAATCCGTGTGGTTCACCCGCCAGCCGTCGTATGCAAAGCAGCGGATGACAGGCGTGTGCCACCCTGCCTGGTGCGGTGTTCGGGGGCGCACGCCACCACCAAGCGCGCGCGTGCTGTCCCCCCCCTCGTCCCACGTGGCTGCCATCAATTACCTCCATTACAACTCGCGCACACACTTGGCGCAACGCCACGGTGCACAGCCCACGACCGAGATCCTCAGGCGCTCTCGTGAGTGAGGGGCACATCCCCGAGTTCGAGACTAGACCCTAGGTAATTTGTTTACTTGATTTACTTATTTTCAGCACTTCTAAAGCCCAACCGGATGGAGCTGTGGTTAAGATTGCCGAGTTCACCGTCGGAACATGCTGGCGAATATCTCGTCGCAGTCAGCCGTCAACTTGGCCTCTCCAGGGCCAACAAACGGCGTGCCGTTTTGTGGGCAAGCCACACGTGGCTAATCTCTCGGGAGGACAGTCGCTACCATACCACTGTGGAATCTACACCACAGCTCCAATGTTCCTTATAGTGCCGGATACCGACTCAACATCTACAAAATGCCGTGAATGAGCTGCGAACTTTATCATTATTATTATCAATGAGTGTGGCTTCAAGGGCATCCATTATGAATCGCGTGCGTTGCGTGGTGCCGTGCCTTCGCCGCGTGGCGAAGAGCAGCCGTTCAATGGAGGCGGCTGCGATGCGACACAATCACGTCGCGCGATAAGCAGAGTGTGCGTGCAACAAAAAAAACCAATGGGCCGCCACAGCGTGGCTGCGATGATCTCCGCCGTGCCTGCAGGGGAAAGAGGCTCCGGCTGCAGATAGACGCGCGGGCACGCAGTGCCAGATTCCCACACAGGTCGTGAGCGCATGATGGAGATTTGGTGCCAACCAAGAGCTATATTGATTTAATTGCTTGCTTGCTTGCTTACTATCGTCATTATCATTATCAGAGCCGGAGGAGGACTTTGACCTTTCATTCATTGTGAAAAATAAATGAAGGCACGTTTCCCGCGAAGCCGACGCAACAGATTTGCGTGCAAAGCCGTGATCGTGGATTGTGCACCAGCATGTACAATCGAATGCCTCTGGAGAGCGCAAAGATTAAATATAAAGATCCCCCATACAACGTGCACAGTTTTGTTGGGGGAAAGCGCTGATGTTTGCATACCGCATCAGGAAGTCATCGTAAACCTGGGGGTGGACAACAATGTGGCGCTTCCGACATCAATCGCCACTGATGTTGGCGGACTCACATCGCCGGATTCGTAGCGCGGCGCGCACACCACTGTGCTTCCGCCCCCCAAAGCGCAACAACAAAAACAACAACCGTCACCATGGCGCTTGTGCCAGGCTAGGTGCACGTCGAGTTCACAGTGATGTCGAACGCCAGCTGGGAGGAGGTCACGGGACAAACCCAGGTGCCACGGGTCGACTGAATGAGATGACTGCCCCGATGCACCAACTGTGCCCCCTACTGTGCCAACTAAACGCACGCGTGTGTGTGTGTGTGTACCGTACACGCAAGAAATGCAAAACGTCAGTATTCCTGCGCCGAATTGAGCAACGAGCGGTTCTCGTTTCCATTGGTGGTGCGGACTCAGCGGTGGAAATTCCACATTTGCATAGCAGGGACCAATTTCCCATCACAAAACAAACAACTTGCGGACTTCCCACCATGTGGTACGGATTTTATTGACCCTGAAAAGGATGATGGGATTCGTTGACCCTTGCTAAAATTTGAACTTGTGCCCTCACAAGCCAAAGGTTCACACCATGTGGGCTATATCCCCCAAAACACTTGAGCTTTTTCCTTTTTTATTTACATGCCAACATTTGTTTACAGGTCACTATTTATTTATACGAACAACAGAGCCGTGCATGAATATCTGGAACAGCATTGCCTCTGCTTATTCAGTGCGTGAACAACAGTAACAATGTGCAATTGTGCCACCTACACTTTGCGCCGTTCACACTAATTGCCTGCATATTTTACAACATTGACATCCATCGCGAATGGAAGGAATAACAATTAGGACTAACCCTTGCAGCGGCGTGATGCGAGGTGACCATAAAACCACACGAGCTAAACCAAGCTGACCTATATTGAAACAAGTAAAACGAATTATTTGGTGATGCTGCTGCTGCTGCTTTAGCCGTGGTCCACAAAGCACAAATAACAAAAGCATCACAATCAATAACATCGGGCTAAAAGGGAAGGTATATAATAGGTTATCTTTCAGGCAATGGCTCTTCTTCGCAGCACATAAATAGAGAGGTCAGAGGGCGTTATTGACAAGTGCGCTCCGTTTTTGTGTATATTTCAAAGGGTTTCCTTGTAACCGAATCAGTGCTGCTGAAATTATTCACTCCCTGACGGCTATGGGAGCCGAAAGGGGGTTGTGTAAAGAATACTTTTTTTTAAGCGCAGAGACAGATACACATGAAGGAGATGTATCGTCTGCTCATCCAAATCGTTCGATCGCAAAGCGGATCACCGGCCGAAGCAGGTGACAACGTTACGCACACGGCGCTCTTTCTCACCAGCGACGCATGGATCGAGTTGAACACGAAGTTGAGGCAAACGGTGCAACGGTCACCGGTGTCAAATTGTTAAACGAATGCCGGATGAAGAGTTGATTCGGTATTCTGAAATCGGACGGGAAACAATTCCATCACTGCTCCTCTCTGCCTCAAAAGGCATTCATGGCAATTGCCAAAGTGCCCGCTTTGTTTATAAGTGAAATACAATGATATGCCGACTTAAAAATTTCGTGACTGCAGGAATTCATATTCTTTGGTTCTTTCGATAAAGTCACGTAGATAGAAAATAAAAAAATGCAGTCTTCATCGTGTGAAGTTTAGAGCAGCAGAATGCAGGAAGTAGCTATGATCAAAAACATTTTAAAAAGATGAGTTACCAAACAAATATAACAGCTGCACTGACCCGATGACCTGTAGTTAGAGTTTATCTCAAAACTGAATCTTTGTGGCCTAATCAGATGCAGTTACCGATTCAGGACAATGATGTTTGAGTTGACCCTACTTAGATTTAACAGGCGATGATGATGTTGATGATTATAATACTCCTGGTGTCTTTAGCAACTGCACAGATTTTTCGCTGGTTGCGGGGGGGGGGGTGTTGGTGGATTTTCCAAGCTATAAGCGAACCATCCGATAACTTGTTGAGACGCAAAAAGGTCTAGATCTGCAGTAGACAAGACCATTGTGCGTTGGTTACAAGAATAAACCATCGCTCATACAAATGTTTTCAGGCTTTACGGAAAGGATGCCTGAGAATTGTTTCCTGTAAATATCGTATTTAGAGCTTTACTGGGAGTTTACTTCTGCATAGGGAATGCATCCGATGGGAAATGCCATCATGAAAAAAGGTTTTTAGCAAGGAACGTTCTTTGAATATTCGGGAATTTATTTTACAAACGTATCTGTCCAAAGTATTAAAAATGTAGACACACAGCAGGTTAGAGGCACTAAAGGAATTAAGTTTTGCTTAACTTAGGATTAACTTAAGATGAACTCATATGCCGAGGCCTTTGAAAGGGTTGTTATTCTCTGCGATGTTGGGAACAGAGAGCCGAGAAAGATCGCGAATCGGAGATTGGTGGCTATAACTGTTTGAGGTTTGCGAGATTCGTTTAAGTTAAATATAATTAAGGTTTACTACTCAGAGCAGACTACCTTTGAAGAAAATTACACCGTGCAAAGGTGAGTCAGTAATACCAAATAAAACACGGCATATTAAAACCACCTGTTTCCAAGATTTTTTATACAAAATAACAATCACATGTATCTGCGCTAAGTATGTAATACGGCAATTCAT